AATAAAATATATACATATATATATTTTAATTATTTAGATATTTGCATTTCCCAACTTGTTGTACATAAATTTTACATATAGAACTTATACAGTTGCTACCTTTAGAGTGTGCCATTGGTATCTTTTTTCTGAATGTAGAATAAAAATAATTGTACGGTAAATTAAAATAAAAAAAAAAAATAGGCAGAGAACCAAAATCGTCGCATGTCTGAAGGTTAAAATAGATATCGATCTCTATACATTTCGCGTAGCCTACTTTCCTAAAATATTCTTTGCGCGGCTTTTAAATAAACAGTTGATTCGCGATACGAATGAAGATCCTTGTCGGGCGTCCCACTCGTCGAAAAAATTTCCTCAAAGACACCGAAAATTTCGAAGCACAGATAGCGGTTTCCTGAGCTCATAACAAATTCTTTTCCACAAACGCTTCTGTCGTCGGTACGAATGAGTTACGCAGATGCCACGAAGTCGCCCACCGCTACCGGGTGTCTCGCTCTTATTTGCATCTCAATCGCGGCCTAACGTCTCCCCTGGCAACGGCTATGAATTTTATTCCGGTCTCATATTTCTGATCTCCATTGTGGCGTTCGAAGAGCACCGCGCGCTCTTTGCGATCAATCATCTCCGCCGTTGCCGTTACTCGCCACCTCGGGGCTGTATTTCGAACTTTTGCGCGCGAAGAAGCGAAGAAGAAGTCGACGAGTCTTCGACAACTCCTCTCTTGCGCGAATTCTCACTCCTCCATCTCTTCGTCCTCTTTCCTTCTTCTCTCGATTTCCTCCCCCGTTGCAAACAAGAATTCCGCAAACGCCCCCAGGGTCCATGAAATACGTGAGGGATGCGCGCCTAGACGCCAGGGATATTCTCCGTGAGAAAATGCAGACCGCAGCGATTCTTCCTCTTTATCTCGAAATATCTCGGTTAAACATCGCGACCGAGAAATCTCGTCGGACAGACGAAACATATCCGCGACATTCCCCGCATTTTCAATTTCTTCGTGTCACTTTATCCGTATGGGCTTACCTACGGCCTTTGTTGATCGTTTCTCTTACGGATGTTGGCGAGTATTAAGTAAAGTCTTGTGAGCAGAATCTCCCCATGGAATTCAACCGGACCGAGAAGACGTCGCGAAAAGTCACTTGAGAGATCTCTCGCGAAGAACGCATTGTCTATCTGTTTATATCTAAAGTCGACGTTCTCGCGCTTTACATTTGTTGTCGCACTTAAATAAAACTCGTTAATTCGTTCGATTGTTCCATGTATGTAAGCAACTTCGACAAAACTATACGTGATCAGCAGATGGCTGGTACATAGTCCTTTAATCACCGTTCTTTTACACAAAGGTCCGGGCTTGAATGGCGATGGTCGATGTAGGTATTCGATATTAGCAGGAGGAAGCCTCTATGTCGGCTAAACTCATAATGTTCATCAACAGAGTAAAGAAATGGACGAAACGCTGGATATTGTGGGATCGTCATATTTCCCTTCTTCGCTTAATAAAAATATCAACGTCTCCATAACCCTGGCACATTTTCTTGTCGCGATATTTTGTGAAAACGCGGAAGACAAACTTGTTTTTTCTCAGCTGTTTTTAACACCTTTGCTAAAAGAAATATTCTTACGTTGTCATAGAATCGCGAAACTTTCGTGGAAAGTGCATTTTGGAATATCAAGTGCATTTTAGGACATCTTACATAAAAAAAAGTCATATTGCACCGATTTTAATCTTAATTTTATGCAGGATAATAACATTATTACTTATTTCTTTTTAAGATTTTTTTAATTTAAGGAAAGAAAAAGAAATTTAAAATTCTTAAATTAATTTAAATTAATTTTTTAATTACACACACATTTTTTTACACGTTATTTAATTCAAATAACTTTTTAACATTAAATATTAATTTAAAATTAATTAAACACATTTGACACGTTTAAACTGTTCAATCGTATGAGAATAATATCGAGTTCTACATCAAAACTTACTCGAGCTGTTATTATAAGGAATATGTGGGCATTTTCGATAATTAATTTTGTACAGATTTTTGTGATAAATTAATGTCTGAAGGGGGCTCAATCCTGTAATCGAAACTTGTAATGTTTTATATTTGAATTTAAACTGAGTTTTTTATTTTATTTTTTCAATTTTATTTTTCTTTATTTGTAATTTATTCTTTTTAATTGTGTCACAATTTAAAAAATCTGTTTGACTCTTACTTTGCCCTTATTTATTGTTATTTATATTTTGTACATGGAGAGTCCTTCTATCTTTTAAATATTTAAAATTAATATAATTATAATATTAATAAAATTATAATAATATAATAAATTAATACTTAAATTAAAATTTAATTTAAAAAATCTTCTTTTATTTAGATAATCTATTTTTACGATCAGATAAGTGCGTTTTTTGCATATCTATTTTAACATAATACAATGGAATTCAAATTAGTTGATATATAATTATTTGATAAAATTCTTATTTAATTGTTAATTCTGTGGATGATTCATCATTCTTTCTGCTAAATGATAATTAATATTACATTAATGGCAACGGATATTGATTTGTAGGTCTAATAGGGTCTCGAATAATGAGACTATTAAACAGCGTAGCTTCATTAATAATTGAGATTATTGATTTATATCAATAGCATCTATTATGTATTTATATAACATTATACAGAATTGTTTACTTTGTATAAAATATTGTATATTTGCATAGAATTGTTTCCTATATTTTCATTGATACGTAAAATATTAACGAAGGGATCTTACATAATATTGATAAGGCGATATATAAGCATAATATTTACATTCTTACGAAACATTTCAAAGGCAGAGGAGTGACATTTAAACTTGTCCGTGAACGCACACCTTAATATACTTCTCAAATATCTTAGTATTCTTATTATTATATTGCTTCTTCCAATGACATAAGCACATTCATTACACACCTAGTTTTAAAATATTAAAATATTAAATTATAAGTATTTAATAAGCAGTTACTTTAGTGAGAGATTTTTTTAACAACTTGAAACAAATAAATTGGCTATTCTTAAAGTTAATGTAAACTGCGGACTTATCATTTTTATTAAGCTGCTCATTTCCAAAGCCTGATGTACCAATTTTATTTATCTCGCGGCTATTTTTGTAGGAAATTAGATTTTTCTGTTTTAAACATTTTAATATTTAATTATAGGCATCTTATTATTATCTTAAAATTCAAAGAATGCATTATTGAAGATGAATTCCTTATGAAGCATGATGTTCCTTACGAAGTACAACATACCGGAGCGTTATTACATAGCACCGGAGTATTTTATATATATATATATATATATGTGTGTATACACACACACACACACACACACACACACACACAC